ATGGTTGTTCATAGAGTACGTACGAATATACATACTTTCACAGGCATACAGAATTTCATTCAAATTTCCCAAAAAATTTTTGATTTATTAAGGGGTATTCTACTCTAGAATTTTGAAAAAAAAAAAAATTTTCATATATTTAAAGTTAAGACCCTTAAGAACATATCCTCCAAATAATTTTTAAAAATAACTTAGACCTCCTGAAATTTGACTCACTTTTTTAAACGGGTTTTTCTAGAAACTACTTTTTTCCACACGGTACCGGCCTTATCTCAAGTTCTATACAACCTATTTACTTGAAATTTTGTGTGAACCTTCTTGATATAATCCTTTATCGTTCCTAACAGCATCGTGTCAAAATTTTTGTTTATAATATTTAAAAAAAAAAATCAGGAATTTAAAAACAAAACGTAAAAAATGATTTTTATTTTCCGGCAGTCGCCATTTTTCAAAAAAAAAAAATTCGTGTTCCYTGAGGTAGGGACTATAACAGCATCCTTACTGATTAAGAATTCTTTTGATTTTTTTTCCGACCATCAGGAGAGTCAGGATCAACGTCACCAGGATGCGCCATTTTTTTTTCTCACCCCTCCTCTAATTATTTTAATTTTTAATATTTTTTTGTAACATTTTTTCTGTATTCTTAAGATATCAATAAAATCACCATAAAGAAATGATGATAAAAAAATTTTTGGTTTTTTTTTTTTAAATAAAATTCAAAACACTGCCCAAAGCTTGATTTCTAGACTAGAATACCCCCATAAAAAATCTTTGTAGCGCTCTTATTGAAAACCCTCTTAAAGTTGAAGCAACTGACTCCGAATTTCGGTAGTAAATTTTAATTACTTCGACACGTTGTTGGATCGTATGCCTTCCCATGATGAAATGGCAAACCTTACTGAAGAGAAATGTGAAAAGAGCGGGGAAAATATGCCGTCGTTTGCTGTCCTTATCGTTCTACTTTTGTACCTCTACCCATTGAAAAACCATATATACACAAATAAGTGCAGTTAGTATACCTAGTACGATCCATCTTGGAGTTCAGCCATTGAACCTAACGTAACCTGTTAATACCTAATTGTGCTGATTTCTTCGCATATTCCGGAGTATACTCTCATTACAGTTTGCTTGCCATTTGTATTGCATATATCTATACTTGTACATACAATTAAATCATTTTTTGTATGCTAAAATTAATGTTGTTGTATATAGTACAGTTATTATTATACATTTGTAGGTGTTGTTTTTGTTGTTGCAATCACATATGTTTATATGTTTGTTGTGTATTTTTGCGATTATGAAATCTGCACTTCATCGTACTGACCCACATTTTACCATTCCCCTTCCTTTCCACTGCGTTTCTAGCGAAAAATCGCATAATGCAAATACGAAGTAAGTAATTGTTTTTGTTGTTGTGAACACTTTTCGACTGCATTTAATATTAGTGGTTACATGTATAGCTGCTATAAATACTGCTTTTATAGTAAATCAATAAAGCTACACTTTTCTCCCAAATCACTGCCGACATGAAAGTCGTCGTTGTCTCGTGTCTGTCTATCATGCGCTGACAAGTTGTGGGCTATACGAAGTACATACTATATATGGTAAAATCCACCCTGTCGAGAGAAAACTGTAAACTTCTTCACATGGAAGAACATTTATACGAACCTTCCAACCTTATACAATGTTGATTGGCATGAATGAAGAGTTAGATTTCCGATAAGATAGTAAAGCTTATCTAAATTCTATAGAACAAGTCTGTTCATCAAGTTGAAGTGAGCGATTGCCGAAAAACGCCCGGAAACGTGACTAGACCGAAGAGATAATTTTCCATAATGACAACTATCGGCTTTTTCTTGTAGGACCGGTTTTAAACTATTTGGAAAACTGCGGTTGAGTGTGGTGAATTCACTCGCCTTATAGCCCAGATTTTGCAGCTTCTGATTCTTATCTAATCCACACACTACCAGAAGGATGGGAAAATATTATAGTTAGAAATGTGTAATACCTTTTATAACAAAATTATACAATTTTTTATTCCTTCAAGTGTCGAAAAGCGTTGAACTTTTGGTTCTTTTTTTACATACGGAAAGAAATGGAAGTTATTGATATTTGGAGTACTCAAAAATTCTATTGTTTCTGTCGACGTGTGAGATCTCGCATTGTCGTAGTCAATAGTGATCCATCTCCGGCGGTTGGTTTTCCTGTTGTCTTGTAATGCCTTCAACTTGAAAACAAATGGTTGTGTACCACTCAGACTTTACTGTACTGTGTTATTCTAGTAGTAAGGTTGTGATATGTTTAGTGTTTCCAAAACAATGAACAACTATTTAGTTTGGATTATGGAAACACCCAAACAGACGACTGCAGTTTATTTTCGGGCTATTACGCATAAATCCACGATGCATCACCTGTTTGGATTGACAAATTTTTGAAATTAATTTTAGTAATATCTATAGTTGTCTCAACCTCACGATAGGTCACGTGACGGTCTTTCAATATCAGTTCGCGCACAGCAGCAATCGTTTCCGAAACAAGAGTTTAGTTTGAACGACGTTCACGAAATTCTTCTTGGAGTGTTCCCCCACCTGGAGCTTCTTCGCCACAAATTTAATTAATTTCATGCAGGAAATTCATCGTGTCGTAAGTCAGAACTCAATGAATTGGACTTCGAAATGCTGCTCTCATATTTCAAAAGTGTGCTCGATGAGAGAAAATATTCGTTGAATAACGAGGTCATCTAAGAAATTGAGGTCTATTTTTAAACAAAGGAAAAATGGTTTTAATATGTTTGGCAGAGAACTTTTTAATTGAACTATGATATAATATTCCTACATCACTAAAATGAGAAATATATGATTCAGTTTTACCAAAGCATAGATCTACGAGTGGTACAAAGGCTTCAAAGAGGGTGAACAGATCGTTGAAGGAATGTCTCATTCTGGACGACCTTCGACCTCTGCAACTGATGAAAATATTAAGAAAGTGTAGGATATGTCAGTAAGTATTAGAGAGATGGCAGGAAAGCTCGACATCTCTCCTGAGTCCGTTCGAATGATTTTGGTGGAAATTTTCGATATGAAACACGTTCTTGCTCGACTCGTCCCGATAAAGCTGATTTGTTTTTGAAAGGAGTACATACACAGGTATCTTTGGACGAAACCAAACCACCCCAAAGCCGCTCAAAAATCAAGATGATGCTCATTGTTGCGGGACATATGGTCAATAAAGAGTTCTATTTGGAAGTATTGAGGCGTTTGCGTGAGAAAATCCTTCGAAAACGGCCCGAATTGTAGAAGAACAATTTACGTATTTTACACGATGATATGCTAGACGAATATTCTGCGTTTTATTTATAATTTCCGGGTACTCTTTTGTCGCAATGAGAGAGTTTGAAATGTTCGGTTGAGGCCAACTTATGTCTACGTTTCTTGTTATATTTCATAATAACTGATAAGGCCCGGTTTGCTTATGAAATTTCAAATCGTTCTTCCAACAGCCAACTGAGAAGCGATCTCAGTTTAATTTATTCATTCGAACTGTGCAGTACATTTTAATAAAATCAAAATAATYTTCATAAAATAACATAATTATCATAATAARATGTTGAATGTGACATTTTTGCTAATAACTCTGCTAATCGCGTCAATAGAAGCAGCCAAAATGGTCTGTTATTATGACTCAGCCAGCCAATTTAGAGAAGGTTAGCTTACACGGAGATTCTTATGATTATTGATGACATTGTGTGGGTATAAGTACTCGTGTGTCTTTAATACTATATAAAAATATGTGTACAAAATAAATATTGAAAATCAAAGGAGCATATACATATGGTCTGTCTCTTATACACATCTAGATGTGTATAAGAGGTTAGCTTACACGGAGATTCTTATGATTATTGATGACATTGTGTGGGTATAAGTACTCGTGTGTCTTTAATATTTTATAAAAATACACATGTACAAAATAAATATTTAAAATCAAAGGAGCATATATGGAGCAGTGTCTAACAGACTCAATACTCGTGACTGGAACAAATCGTTTCCTCTTACCGCTCCGTGGCACCAACTAGAGATTCCAAGAAAAGCCAGTGGAGGTCTTCCTCTTCCTCTGCTTCCCCCGGTGGGTACTGCGTCGAATACTTTCAGACCTGGAGTATTTTCGCCGTTCCTTTGCTCTTTTTTTGAAAAAATGCTTGAAATGCCGTCCACAGTTCCTTATACCAAGTTGTTGACAATATAGTGGACCGAGTCGATGACCTCGGAGCGTACTTACGTCTAGTATACTGGAGAAATGTCTTCCGTCTATCACAACATGAACGATCTAGTCGATGGCTTTTCGATCCGGAGGCAGCTACGTAGATTGATGTATTTTTATATGCTGGAATCTATTATAGTACTAAAGATAACCATATTTTGTGCACTGGCGAAGTCGATCAGCCTTATCCTATTCTTTGGCTACCCAAAGGATACTTGGCCTAGGACCGCAAGGTGTGCGCTGCTGGAGTCTTATGTAAAAGAATCGTTTCTGGCCACTCTCAAGTGAATTCGGATACTAAAAAGTCCTTAATGTTAAAACTAAATTAAATTCCAGTTGGTTTTAGCATTATGAACAGCTTTACCATTGAAGAAATATGGACCAATGCATTCCACTGTTCATAGAACACACCAAACAGTTGCTTTCTTAGGATGTAATGGCGTCTCAACAATTGTTTCTGGATTATCATCATGCAACAAAAAATTATCTTCAAATGTAAACTAAAATTTTCTTGTGAAAATTAGCAACGGTGGCCATCTAGTTCGAAATAGTCCGAATGTTGGACACAGCGCTTGCTGCGAACCGCACCATTACTTCGGTAATAATTTTGCACGATTTGCAAACGTCTTCGAAATTAAATTCAAAGTATTGACACATTGAAAGCCAGGCGCTCAAAATAAACACCCTTTGTATGGCTCATTATCTATGTAAAGGCACTTATAGAAATCCGAATACTTATTTATATGTATATATTCCAAGGTTATCAGCGCCGTATGTACATAT